CACTTGATACCAGCTGCCAGCTAGACATCAAGTCATTGATTACTACCCTCTGAGCTCGACAATCCAGCCAGTTTTCCATCCACTTTACAGTCTATTCATCCAACCCATACTTCCTTACCTTGTTTGAAGAATGTTGTTGAAGACTGTATCAAAAGCCTTGCTAAAGTCAAGGTATATCACATCCACTGCTCGTCCCACATCCTTGGAGCCAGTCATCTCATCAGAAGTCAGTCAGGTTGGTCAGGCATGACTTGCCCTGGGTAAATCCATGCTGACTGTTCCTAATCACCTTCTTTTCCTTCAGGTGCTTAGAAATTAATTCCCTGAGGACCTGCTCCATGATTTTTCCAGGGACTGAAGTGAGGCTGACCAGTCTGTAGTTCCCTGGATCCTTCTTCCCCTTCTTAAAGATGGGCACTATATTTGCCCTTTCCCAGTCATCCGGGACCTCTCCCAACCACCACGAGTTTTCAAAGATAATGGCCAGCAGCTCTGCAATCACATCAGGCAACTTCCTCAGCACCCTTGTGTATTGTGTCCAGCCCCACAGACTTGCACACATCCAGCTTTTCTAAATAGTCCTTAACCTGTTCTTTCACCACTGTTGGCTGCTCACCTCCTCCCCAGACTGTGCTGTCAGGTGTAGTATTCTGGGAGCTGATCTTGCCTATGAAGACTGAGGTGAAAAAGGTATTGAGTACTTAATTCCACACCATCTGCCACTAGGTTGCTTCCCCCATTTAGTAAGGGACCCACACTTTCCCTGACCTTCCTCTTGCTGCTGGCATACTTGTAGAACCCCTTGTTACCCTTCATGTCCCTTACTAGCTATAGCTCCAGTTGCATTTTGAGCTTCCTGATTTCATCCCTGTATGCCTGAGCAGTACTCTTATATTTCTCCCTCGTTGTTTGTCCATGTTTCCACTTCTTATAGGATTCCTTTTTGTGTTTTAGCTAACTGAAGAGTTTCCTGCTAAACTGGTCTTCTGTCATACTTGCTAGTCTCCCAGCATATCAGGATGATTCATTCCTGTGCTCTGGGTAAGGTTTCTTTAAAATACAACCAGTTCTCATGGACTCCTTTCTCCCTCAGACTGGCCTCCCAGGGGATCCTGTCCATCAGTTCCCTGAGTGAGTTGAAGTCTGCTTTTCTGAAGTCCAGGATCCTTACTCTTCTGCTTTCCTTCCTTTTTTTCCTCAGGATCATGAATTAAATCAGCTTGTGCTAGCTGCTGCCCAAGTTACTATCCATTGCTACATTCCCCACCAGTTCTTTCCTGTTTGTGAGCAGCAGGTCAAGAACACAGCCCTTTGCTGGCCTCTCCAGCACTTGTACTAACGGAACATGTTCCTCCTCCTCTGTTGCTAGGGCTCCATATCTGTTCTCCAGGCAAAGGTGGAGATTAAGACTTCTGCTTGCTGCCAGAGGTCACAAGCTTCCACCTTTCTAGGAGTTCTATTCTACCTTTCTGGGACTGCCTCCGGCAGTCCTTCCTCCACAGTCCTAGCGGCCTCCTTCAGCAATGAATCAATTAAGTCCTTATGGTGGAGGATGCTTCAGAGACATGCTACCTCCTCCTATAGCTCTCTTGCTTGCTTCTTGGGCAGGGGCTACTAAGAGGCATCGCTCACATCTCAGGCACTCCCCCACCTGGCTTGGAACCACATTCAGTGATGTGGTTCCAACTTCTAATTCATGTCACCTTCTAAGGCTTCTGCACCATTTCTTTTCAGAAACCCTTCTCACAAGGATATGCTCAGAGCAAAAATAGATTTTAAGTAACAAAACAGTATAGAAGAAGAGGCTTGAGGCATTTTTTATTTTAAAAATGAACAGTATTTTAAATCACAACTACATCTGGAAGAAGAAGTTGTTGTGTAATGTCTGACTCTGCTTTCACTGTGTACCACAAAAATAAAGTTGCCTTTTGCTCCCATCCTGATTGTTTACTGAAATTAATTTCAGCTAAATTAAGCCACTAATCTCCAAGTTTTCTTTCTAAAACTAAAGGATAAATAGGGCACCTTAACCTTAAAGAGAGTTTTGACTTTATTTGGATAGAGCTAAGGTATTTAAGAAGTCTCCTGATTTTCTGCAGCCTTTGGGGGATCAGTGCAAATCCAGTTTGTTAGAATGGATTTAGTAGTGCTTGTTTTTTAGCTGGGATATGAGTATTTGAAGATTTCAAGGTTTGCTCTGCTAGAGCTAAAGCAGCATTTGATGCCCTTCTTCCGTGTTGTTTCTGTGGTGGGCCAGTAGGGGGTGCTCCTGCATTGAACCACCTGCCTCACTGCACCTGACCAACTTCCTGTCTCCATGTGTCTCCCTGAGGGCACCTCACATCCAGCCAACCCCCTTCCTGGAGCACACCCGCAAGCCTAGGGGTAACGCTGCCGCCACCCAGAGTCTGGACTGACTTTGGCCCTGTGCCCCCTGGGAAACAGAGGCCTGGTAGTCCTTGAGGGGTATTTGACCTACTGCAAGAACTTGGGTTGCTTGCCTCAGTCTGAAGCACAAATGGTGGTCTCCCATAATCAGCCAAACCAAGGGGACCCCAAATTATAATCTAGACCCTCTCCCAATAAGTCTCCCATGCTAGATACAGAGGAGAATTGTATTGGTTGCAAGGAGTAGGTTTGGAATAGGGTACAGGGTAGAGCAATATCAGAGAAATACCTTAGAGCAAACAGTACCATGGTAGCCTTTGATCACTCATCTGAGTTACTTCAAGCTTTATATCTAGTTAGATTTCAAGTAGCTTACTCGCAAGTATCATCCAGAGGCAGGTGGAGAGTCCCTCTGGAAGCAAGCAGTTCACCGAACATGAGTTTCAAGAGAGAGCGAGTTTCAGATGCTCCAGCTTCCCTGAGAGTTCTCATCATGGTTACTGCCCCTCCTCCTGGGCAGTCCTTAACTTGTATAGACCTTATGACCTCATTTACCTGATCCAGTGAAGGCCGGCAGCTGTTTGCTGCCAGCCAACCAATTTGAAATGCATCACTGGTTGCTGGGTAGACTGGCAGGGTCTCTAGCCCCCTCCCAGTCATGATGATATTGCTTAGAACAATAGGGAGTTTAAGCCCCCACCCAGGTGTGTGAGGCCAGTCATGTGGGCAGAAGGACCAGGTTTCCCCCTCCCTAAGGAATGTATCGAGCTCAGGTTACAACTTGGGGCTACCTGAAGCTGATGGGACTAGAGGTGTCTGCCCTCTGCAGTGACCATGGTAACCAAATTGTCAGATTCATCATCTGCCTGATAGCAGAGTTTGGGAAGAGACAGGGATGGCATTCTGCCACACTTTCCACTGTAAATGTCTGGAGCTTCTGCCCATATTAGTTGTTTATTATTTTGTTGTCTAGACCTAGGGCTTCCTATGTGAAGACAATTAAGCATACCTTTTTGAATATGAATTCTTTGGCCCATCTTCCTGTTTGCACTGCTTGCTTGTCACAAGTGAGAATGTTAAGGATCTGTTTCTAAAATGAGATGTATGTTCTGGTAATTTACTCAAGAATGTTTTCCTCACTTTATACATTGGTTACATATACCCACATTCTCTTTTTACCCTAATTTTTACTCATTTAGCAGCTATGAGTTGGCAGAGGAAACTGAGGTAGTTGTGGACTTAATGACCTCTTAAAATCTCAGCTTTGATCATACAGTACTATGAAAAACAATATATGCCAAAGGGAACTGTTTTCATAAACTGAGCCACAAAAAGAGAACACATGCCAGAAGTGGAAGCATGCTGAGATGACACTTTTGAAGAGTCTACTGCTGATAAGTAACATTTCTACCTTGTGTGAAGGTAGTAATATTTTTAAATGGTCACTGAAATCCTGGTTCAAATTTATTTGATACTGGCAGTAAGATCAGGAACTTAAATCACAAATTGAACATGTTCATTTGTGTTTTCACTAATTTTACTATAATACAATTTCTCCAAAATAAATAATGGATAGATTCTGAGAGCTTCCAGTTTGAACCTTCAGCATCATTAAATGGACCTTATTGTTGTCCATAAATGCGCCAGACTAGATAGTGCCAGTTATACTGAGGATGCTCTTTACATGCTGTATAACCATGGACTTGTAATAAAATTGAGTTTCAGGAATAAGAAACAAGGTATGTGTATGGATGATAGGTTTTGAAGTTCAGTTATGGGAGTTGTTCAGATGTTCTTATAAACCAGGTGCCTAAAGAAAGTTGAAACGCACACCCCAGCTCCTTCTTCCCTTCTTCAGCCGTAACTTCCAATTTAGAGGTGGTAGAGCTATTACTTGGTCTTCTTTATTGTTATTCAAAAAGTTGAATGCATTTAATTTATTTTGCCATTCCCCCTAAATTTTCCTGTGGAGATTTTTTTTCTGATTACTTGTGTCAGCAGGAGCAAGAAATCTTCTGTTCAAATTCACATCTCATTGTGATTACAATAGTCTAATATTTTTCAAGTTTCTTTCAGAACCTCAATGACTTACAAAACTGTATTTGCCAGTGATGTTTTTCATCAGTCAGAATCCTAACACGTCAGTGTCCCAAGAGACTTTGTGATTGCAAGAAAGACTAATTCAGTCAAAGGAAAATATGATTTATTAAAGAATGGAGAATAAGATCTTTTAGATTCTTTTAAGTGCATCTCTTCACCAAGATCCTTGTTGCTAAGTTTTCTCACTCTTTAGTGATCTATGAATAGATCTTTGAAATCAGTGTATATGCAGGAAATTACATTATGAGGAAAATGATTGGAATTGTAAAATAGAAGAAAATGACATTTGAAATGTAAAGTTTATTTCTGAGGAAATGTAAGGCCATGTATATTATTTGTTAAAAGTTTCTATAACCAAAAAAGGGATGATTTCAAAGGGGAAAAAGAGAGAAAAATCAAGATAGGCTAACAGCCTCCAGTGTGTCTTGTTATTGATTTAAATCTGCTGGTAAACATTTTGATTACAATTTGCTACTGTTTCTCATTAGTATTTTTTCATTGATTGCTTTCAGAAAAAAAAAGAAGAAGCTTGGAATTAATACCTCTAACTGCACGAATGGTTATGACACATCTAGTAAACCACTTAGGTCACTATCCCCTTAGTGGAGGTCCTGCCATTCTGCATAGCCTCATAAGTGAGAATCATGAGAACTTGTACGTGGATTCTTCTGAACTGTCTTCAGAAGTCTTCCAAAGTCCAAACTTGCAATTATTTGTATTTAATGACAGCACTCTTATATCTTACCTCCAAATTCCTGCAGAAAGGAGACTGGAGACTGAGCCAGCAGGAGCTCCCTCCGATGTAAGAGTAATAGTTAGAGATATCTCAGGGAAATATTCTTGGGATGGCAGGATATTATATGGACCTTTGGAAGGCTGTCTACCACAGCAAAATGGAATGAATTCACTTGTGATTTCAAGCAGTTGTGAGAAGCAATTTGAGTCCCCAACAGATGTTGCTCAAGTAGAAGAAGGAGAAGATGCTCTTGACACATTGCTGGAAAAGATTGGTAGCACTAGTCCTGAATGCCTTTTACATCCTCAGCGAAAACTGAATGAGCCATCACCTCCACCATTTGGTATGAACTGTGACCAAGAGAATGAGATCATAGAAGCCCTAATAAGGCAGAGTGCCCAAGAAAAAGAATATATATATAAATGTGATTCTGATCTTGATATGAAAGTAGCTTATCAAGAAGAACCAAGTCCTGCTGAACCACAAGCACCATTTTATTTCTGCAGGTTATTGTTAAATGACTTAGGAATGAACTCCTGGGATAGAAGGTAAGAATTTATGGCTGTAGTTTAGTGGTGGTGGCACTGCTGCTATTTATCTGAAAAAAATCAAGACTCTCTTGTGTCTTCCCCTGCCACAGTTAATTTCAGGATGACTTCAAAATTAATATTTTTTCTGAACATTGGAAAGAGTGAGAGAATTGTGAGATTAATTAGTAGTTGAAAAGAGAGTGTTGTTTCAGTTTTTACCATATAATTGGAGTTGCTGATCAGATTCTAATAAATTTTGACTAGTGCAGTTTGTTCGTAAATGCATTTTAAATCATACTGGTTCTTCCATCTTTTGCTTAGCTGTTTGAATAATAAAAACTGTTTCATATGTTCTAAGAAGCATTTTCCTTTAAAATCTTTTACTACTTTTGTAGAAAAAGCTTTCATCTACTCAAGAAAAATTCTAAATTACTGAGAGAGCTGAAAAATCTAGACTCCCGGCAATGGTAGGTAAAATGTACGAATCACGGTTAATGCTAAAACCATATTTTTGTAGTAAATCCCCCAAAACAGGCATTCGTACAAATTGTATCTGTTAGCAATGCAGATATTTGTTCCTCTTCATATATGTGGTGTTTGTTTATATTTTGGTGACAGAATATTCATAGATATTATATCAATCAGTCTGTGATTGCTTCCCCTGTACCTTCTACAGTCCATGTGGATGAGGCCCTCTCCCTGAGCTAAATATGAAAAGGTTTCTTTTCTTTTCTTTTTTTCTTTACCTGGATTGGGATTGGGAATTGGAAATAAACAGTATTCCATCATGGTAAAAGGAACCAGGAGGTATTTTAAATGTATAATGTTTAATCAACATTTTCCATAAAAAGAATTTCCTTTGAGATGATCCACATGACGACATCAGGTCTGAAAGGAGCCAAATGTAAACCTACCTCACTAGGAAAAGATTGTGGCAGAATAGAGTTCTGAATGTTATGGTGTTCTTTGCCATTCCTTAATGTGTGATTTTTCTTTGATAAGTGACATTAAGAGACATTTTAAGATTTCTACTGTGCCTCAGTAATCTTCATACCAATTATGCTCAGTTTACCCTCATATAAGCCTTTGGTTAACTGCCAGTCCTGCAAACTAAACCTGAGATATAAAAGTCAGTAAATATTTTTTTCCTTCTTGTACATCATTATCAGTAATTAAGATTCTGCAGGCCAAATTGTGCCCTCATTAACACCTGTGCAACTCTATTGTCTTCAGTGAGTTTGCACAGATGTAAGTGATTAACCCTGTAATTGGAACTTGGTAATCAATTCTTTTGCTGATGCACAAAAATAATAGAATCCAGTTCATTCTCAGAGCCGTGTTGACTCTGGGGTATAATCAGGACTAGAAAGAGATAAAAATACATTTCTGCCCCTGAATTGGAGTTATATGACAATATATATCTGTGTACCTTGAGTAAAATAGTATCATTTTTATGAAGTCACTTTTCAAAGTACAACTTCTCTTAATTTCAAATAAAATTGAATTAACTTTGATTTCTTATTACTTCTAATTGTAGTCGTGAAACTCACAAGATTGCAGTGTTTTACATTGCAGAAGGGCAAGAGGACAAATGTTCAATACTGTCTAATGCAAGAGGAAGCCAAGCATATGAAGATTTTGTTGCTGGATTGGGCTGGGAGGTAATAGTAACAAATTGAGGCAAGCTTTAAAATGATTATGTTGGATGGAGTTTCAGCAGTGTTTTATAAGCTATGCAAATGTACACTGAGTGCATATTTTTTTTAATGTCGTAAGGAGAAATAAAGTTATATTTTATTTTACTGTTTAAAACTGTGACTCAACCTTCCATCCCTGTGTGGGGTTGGTTCTTGGGTACAGTCCAACACACCAGTCTAAGCCCACATGCCCGGATCCAGCCACACACATTGGCCCAATTATGGAAGCCCAGATTTGGCTGTGCGTTTTTCCAACCCCACATGCTGCTACCATTCACCTGCCACCAACTTTCCAGAGCCTCGGTAATTTCCAGAGCCTCGGGCTGGATGACATGGCTCTGGAGGCCAGATCTGCCCTGCAGGGTGGGGTTGAGCACCCCTGGTTTAAAAAAAAATAGTTTCCTGAACAGACAGTTCATATAATAACTATTTTCCAACTAATATACTTTTGAAACATTTTAGTTTCTGAGGAAGCTAAAGCAGCCAGTGTCAAGATTATTTTCATGTACCTTTTTATAGCATGTTTGGATGTGAAATGTTTTTCACCTAGAATTTCAGCGTGCTGTATTGAACATCACAAGTACAACTTTTTATTAGCCTAAAAAAGGGAAACCAGATGTTACTGTTTTAGCTTATTAGAGGAAATGCAGAATGACCAGTGCATTTTAGATTTGTCAGGTTCCAGAATAAAATAAGTTTTCTTTTACTTCCTGGATGCCAGGCTAGTCAGGGGACATTCTAGGCTCCTACTATGTCAGACAGAAAAAGAAAGTTGGAACAATTTTACTGTGAGCTCAACAAAACCTGTTCACTTTTACCTAGAGCTCTGTTTGAATCCATGCTTCTTTTAGCTGTTTAGCTACTTCTGTGACATTTTGTATGTGACCTAGCTATGGGAAACCTTTCCACTGGAAAATGTGCCCAACTGTTTTCTTGTTCTGCCTTTTTTTTCCTCCACAGAACAGTCATGGAAAAACAACTTGCCATTTGTGGAAAGTTTATGGTCCCTCATTTAGGTTCTCTTATTCTTCCTAGACCAGAAGTAGAGTCTTAGGTTAGGTGATATGAGATTCCACAGCAAAATCCCCATTGCCTGAAAAGCCATAGGCACCCAGAAGTACTTCATATTTTTTCAGGAAAGGCTGCAAAAATCTTCACAGATGTGGATGCCCCCCATACAAGATCCCGGAGTCCTGAAAAAGATTTTTCACTAGTTATGGTTACACCATTTAAATTTTGATTAATTTTATCTCACTCTTGTGTCCATAAACTTTTTGCTGAATATATGAATCAGGATGAACAACTTCTGACAGTTGGAATAATAGCTGGCCTCCCCATTTAGTAGTCACTCTTGGCTGTCCAAAATCTTGTTGCATTTTAAATTTGTGGCTCTCTTTTCTCATGGCATGAGAGAAGTCAATGTTCCTGCAACAAACCTGGAAGAGTTTTACAATGTCCTGGATCTCAAGGATGTAAACTTACATATTCTGTGTGACCAGCCTACTTGTTCCCTTGTATTTTTGTCTTGTGCAGTTAATTATAACATGAAACCCTAGGGTTGATGTAAACATTGCCCCCCTCTTCCCCTCAAACTATATGCTTTCATCTGTGTAACTGTGACATGGTTCTTTGGAGAAAAGAGCTTCTATCACATCTTTGGCTGGAACACCAGTTCATCTGGACCAAATTCTGGGACCAGATATTCAACAAATAGTGGCTGATGCTTACCAGTAGATACAGCTAAGTTACTTTTAAATCTAAGAACTGGCTGTGTGGGTCCAACTCCGTACTCACTAGGGAAGGTTATGTTTCAATATACCTTGGATCAAAAATCTCTCGGGTCCAATCTCTGTTTTTGCATTTGTCTAGCTCAAAGGTGTAGGATGTTTGCTTAGAACCTACAGAGACTGGCATTCAGTAAATAACTTTGGTAAACAGATAGGGCTGTTTTAGGTTCACTTCCACAAAAACTCTTTGGATCTGACTATGTAAAAATTGTTTGCATCTTGTGTCACCTGATCCCTCCACCAGGCCTGAAGTTGTTCCTAGTCCCATGAGAGGGTATTATTTACTTTGGGCCATCTGTACCTTCTGGAATGCACCACTCATACTGGTCACAAATGCCAGAAGACCATCAGTTTTGATCAGAATGCTCCCACATGTGTGACAGTGAAGGAACTGATCTTCAAGGTCACTGAGGGCCCACCAATTCAGTGGGTGTCAGAGGAGTTTCTGCATGTTCAGCTCTTCTGAAACTCAGGCCACAGGCAGTTTGTTTTTCACTCCTTCATTTCAGCTGTTGTCTAAAATGCAGAGTAGTGAAGACAGAAAAAGATGACCCTGCTCACCTACATAAGTAACTCATGACACAAAAAACTAGAAAACACCAACAAGCATGTCAGTTTTCTTTGTGGACAGAGAGAAATCTATCCACACTCTGTACCAGTCACATAATATCAAGAAAGGGATTGTAAAGCAACTGGCTAAACCTCAGGCAGATCCAACTTTTGGATGAGGATGATGCTTTTAAGATTGGTGCTTTCCTTCCTCTGTTGTTGCCACAGGTTGACTATGTCTTTCCTCTTTCCCTACTAATGAAAGCTGAGGTCTCAAGCCCCCTGGAACCTGGGAGGTTTCATGTTACTGCAGTGGGTGGGTTATGGTGGCAGAATGCCCTGAATCATTCTGCCACCATAACCAAGTTCCAGGGTGCTAAAAAAAGTAATTTTCAGTATGTCTCTTGTCTTGGCTCTTAAGCAATGAGTTCTGAGAATGAAAAAGTTAATGTAGCAGATAACTAGGTGGCACATACATATAGTAAACCTACTTCTCATGCTTATCCCAGAAACTACAGTTACATGGCTGAGCATATCTGTGGTACTCTTGCCCCCAACCTGGCTTTTCTTCAGGGCACCCTACATAAGTGTTTGATTTCTGATTTGCTGAGGGTGCAAGTACCACCTACTAGCAACAAGAGGGGAAAAAGAAGAAACAGTACTTCCTTCCCTTTTCTCTATTCTTTCCTAAAGAGTGTGGTTAGCTGCATACCTTTAATGTAAAGAGATCATTATGAGTCAGCCTTTAAAAAGACCTAGACAGGAAGTCATCTGACACCTTATTGAGCAGCATTGGAGCAAGTTTGAAGCACTCAGTTGCCAGGTAGGCTTCTTTGATGAATTGCCCGTAGACTACATGATTGAGAGAGTAGTTCTGAACCAGTGGACTCCATCCAGGTTGTAAAGGTACAATGACTGAGCTACAAGGGCAGATAGAGTGCCTGGGAAGGACAGAGGTCCTGCTTTCTCCCTTTTTGTCATCTGTTTGTTTTTGAGAATGCGCTAAGCACATTTGCTTAGCCAGAATTACCCCTTAAAATAATATTACAGAATTATTTCTTCATTTGCCAGCAGATATAATACCAGTTGTCTGGACTTCCCATAAAAATTAAAGAAAGTATATTAGGGACATAGGATTGGAAGAGGCCTACTGGACCGCTTTAAGTCCAGTCCCCTGTATTCACAGGCAAATTATGTTTATAGGTAAGAAAATCACTATAGCCATGATAACTGCCTAGTCACTAGTTTTAGTGATTACAAATTACAGAGTTGGAAAAGTGTGGCAGATTGTTTTATGTAGACAAGGCATGTACCAAGGGAAGGCATCTTGAATAGGGAAGGCAGCTCTCTTGCATACAAGTTGGCTGCAACCCTTGTAGAGAGGGTTCTACAAAATTAAACCCTTAACACTTAAAAAAAACAAAACAAGAGCACATTCACTTTTGATTATCAGTGCTCTAATCACTTCTAATAGAACTAAATAAGAACAGGGCTTTTTCTTACTTGTTTTCTTTTTCTCTTGCATCAATAAGGTTGATCTTTCAACGCACTGTGGATTTATGGGCGGTCTGCAACGTAATGGCAGCACAGGACAAACAGCACCATATTATGCTACCTCTACTGTGGAAGTCATTTTTCATGTGTCCACAAGAATGCCATCTGATTCAGATGATTCACTGACCAAAAAGGTAGCTAATGCCTATCTTTTGCACTGGCAGGAATATGTAAGGTATTAGTTGCAAATGATTTTGAAGGGCTTAAATCAGAATTTGAACTGGGGAAAAAAATCATGTACTGCTTTGGTGCAAGCAGGGTGCTTTTCATTCTGCAGCACACAGGCATTCAATTCTGCAACTCACTGCCCTAAATTAAGGGCCATCAACATACTGGAATATATGGCAGAGCAGCATTTCCATGGCAGCATCCAAATACCATTATTAGTAATAATAATAGTAATCATTTCATTTATATGTTGCCTCCCTGCCAAAGCTCTCAAGAATTCCTTCAATGAAATAAAAATAAATACAATATAATAAAATGTGATAAAATACAAATACATGTGAACTAATGAATGATTATTTTAAAAAAGAAAAAAAAGAAAACTGACAAGTAGCACATGAAACCGAGCAATCCAACCAGAGATAAAAATTGTCATCAAACTATTCACATGGATAACCAGGACCAATATAAAAACAGCCTAGAATGCTTCCTGAACAAGAGGAGTTACGAGATTTGAGCAGTAACTGCCAAGTGCTTCAGAATCAAGAAAGGCTTTGAGGCAGTAGCAAATCTCTGCCTATTTTAAGGACAAATGACACCGTATCCTACACTGAGATACCTATTATCTGTCAATAGCAGCTATTCCTTTTGCCTCGCAGCCTGCTTTGAAAAGTTACTATAAAGTATTATTGTGAGGTTCCATGTTCCCCGAATATCACATTTGCTTTAGCACTGAATAAATAAGGGCACAGTCATGTGTTCAAATTAAAGCTGGATAGAAACCAGCTATAAAGTTGATACACATTTTCAAGCACTAACTTTGTATCTGGCTGACTCTTTATAGCTGGATGAACATTTTTATGGTGTGATAATTACTTTGTACGTCTGGCCAATCTAAATTTCTTGCATAATTAACCAGTTAATTGCATAATATATGTAACGTGGCAGGGGCCTGGAATTTCTAACTACCCCACACTGCAGACTCACCCTGGTTTTGGCTGGGTCCTTTCCTTTTTCCCATAACATCTGTAATAAAAATTCTTCAACCCAAATCATGCCTTCATTCACATCTGCACACTGCATTGTCCTCAGATTGTATTTTCAGTATGCTTGCAAAAGCATGGTGAAAATTAACAGATTTGTACGGGTACAGCTAACAATATAATTTGCCCTACAAGTTGTTGCAGTACTGTAGTGCTCTGATTATAAGTCCATCTTCTTTCTTTGCAGAAGAACCAGGAAAGTTGTACTTGATTTATACATGGGATCGGGGGAGATCCAGGGAGTGTGTGTGGTGTGCAGCTGCACCCCACTTTAGTTGTACTTTGCATGAACAGTGAACTCTGTGCTCATTGGCTTGTTGGTGTAGCTCCAAGACTCAGGGTTGAATGTCTCTACTGGTCGGTTCCCACCTCCTTGCCCAGTACAGAATTTGGCAGTAGGGGAAGAAGTAGAGGTATCAGCAGCAGTGTTATGCTGTCACCCTCCTGGGTTCTGGAGCCATGTCAAAGTGGTGGCTCCAGCCAGGAGTTGCACTGACAAGCCAATGAGCTCAGAGAGCTTTACTGTACATGTGCCACTCATCCAGAGGGGTGAATGGTCATACTCCCCTTCCTCCGAATTTGCCCATTCATGGGATTCCTCTATAAGCAAGCTCCTAACAATCTTGACTTTTGTTTTTGCAGTAGTTGTGCACATGCAATAAAAGATACCAAGTCAGAGTCATGTTCAGTACAGTTTTTATCTTAGTATTTTTAGCTCATTTAACCCTTTAGGTCCTTTCTTTGATTATTTAATTTCCCTGTGGGATTTTTTAAGGGCACTAACAGTTTAAGGTCTGTATCTGTAGTTATCAGTTTATATCCAGGGGGAGAAAAGCTGTTCTTTTCTAAAATTTAGTCTGAAAACAGGGTCAACTTATATTCAGGGATGACTCAGAATTGCAACCATATTTGACAAATTGATTATCCAAGGGGTGAAGAGAGCTCAGTGTAATTGTCAGAAAATGTGAGCTTAGCAGTTGAGAAAAAAAACACAGCTTTTTACTTGCAAACAGCACATTTAGATTGAACATAACTGAAATAAAATGAACTTCTTAATGCCTTTTTTAGCAGTTAACACTAGGGCCAGAATAGGACAGACTTTTTCATCAGACACAAAAATCAAGTGCAGTCAGTACCTGGCAGTCTGTGGGGTTCAAAATCCAAAGAGGTAGGAGATGTGGCCAGAGCTGATTCATTGTTGTCCACAGAAAACCTCACAAACTCATTGCTATGAGCCTTGGAAAGAACTGCTGTTGAAATGAGGGAGCCTGCAGTGATCAAACTGTGTGCTACTGCAAAGAAATAAGCTGAGCAAATCTTTTTAGTGTCTGTGCAGGAGGACAATTAACATATTTTTGTCCTTTGCCATGGCTCTTTCTCACACTGAAACAAATTCCCTATACAAAATATCAAATAACAGTCAGTCACTGTTCAGAACTCCAGCTGGAGGTGGAGACAAGACGTGCCTCAAAGCCAGAGAGGAAACTACAGAAATCTGTAAGATTCATAAATCTATGAGCCCCTGGCAGCTATAATGGATGTGAAATGGAGCTCAGGTTGAGACTGCTGAGCTGATGGTTTAGACCTGGGCATCTGTGATTTCCAAATCAGCTCCAAAGACATGTTTGAGTATATAGCAAGCCCTGTGGGGTCTCTCCTCACTCTCAGGGTGTCCATTTCTCCCAGATATTATATGCTGACTCATATGAGCTGAAATCAGTACAAATGTTCCAATCCCCAGAGAGGAAAATCCACAGAGAGTCTTAACAGCAGAACTCAATGCAGTTTACAGGAGCCAGCTATGAAATCCCACACCAAACTTGGCAGTGCATACAGCAATAGAACAAGATAGGACTACATGTGTAAATAATCATATCTGTTTGATTATCTTATGCATTTTAGTCACTTGTCCTCCTTGCCTTTGTTCTGCACAGAGCCAATCATACCCAAATTGGCTCTGCTGTGTCACTCATCCATGTGAAAAATCCATGGATGATCTAGAGGACTCTTAATAAGATCATGGAAAGCACTGACCTAGTACAATAGGCCTGAGGATACCCAAGCAAAAGTTCATGCACAAATTATCCAATTTCCCATCTTAAATTTGTAGAGCACTGTGTCAGAACATAAAAATGTTATGACGTATAAAGATAAAGTACTACTTTTTCCACAACTTCCCCTTTGTGACAGTACTTCACACATTACGTATATTACACAATTAACTGGTCAATTGAGCAATAAATTTAGACATGCCACACATGCAAGCTAATTATCATGCCATAAAAATGTCCATTCAGTTGCAAAAAAAACCAGTCAGCTACAAAGTTAGTGTTTGGAAATGTCTAACAACTTCATAGCTGTCCAGCTTTAATATGAACATGTGGCAGGGTCCTTACAGCCCACCCTGCCCTGCCTTCTGGCCAACTTCAGACAAAAACTACTAATTACATCTGTCTTCAAAAAGGGTTGAGAGAGACAAGGGGAGATTTTTTTAATCTCCTTATTTTAAATAGTTCTTCATTGACTTGATGCTGCTACAAGAACTGTCCAATTCTAAACAGAGAGCTGTCTTTGAGAGGCAATATAGTGCACAACCATTCAAGGATGTGGAAAGGGCAGCAATTGTCCTTCTTCCTTTCCGTCTGGTTTCACCAGATTCTCAGTGAAGCTTTCACTTGCATAATACCTGGTAGTACCCACACCACTGTGTCTGGTTTCATTTTGGGATTCTGTGCTCTGTTCTTTTTGCCTGTCTCTAGGCTAAACAAATAGAGCACTGATCAGTTTGCTTTGCTAGTAAACTCAATAGTTTGACAGACGGTCTTACCACCTGCTGGCCAAGGAAGCAGCCTGTCAGTACCGCAATTTGCAGCAGACCATAAATTTTGTGAGCTTTGGAACTATAGACAGATGCAGTAATTTTACTTAAATATTTTATTATGGGTTCTTGTTGTTTCTAAACACAAAGAAACACATTCACTTCTGGTGTAAATTCACTAAAATGAACAGAAGAATTTTGGCCCTGGAATTTCCATAGAATACAATAAGAATTTACAAATAATTGTTTCCCTTAGATGAGAAGCAATACATTGTTTTCTTGCCTGGCTCACCTTTTAAAACATTATTGTTTGTTAAAATATATATATATATATATATATATATATATATATATATAGCATAGCTCAGAGTAACATTGAAAGACTTGGCCCTGAACAAAAGGCTTTCTACTCAAGTAATCAAAATTCAGCTGATAACTTTTGCAGCTGCAGGATTTAGCGTCATTAGTGTTAAACTTTTTTTATTGGATGTCTTGCAGCAAGAATGAAAATCAATCACAGTAACAGCATCCCACAGTCCCTTGTCTTATTCTAACTAAATTTTACCTAACAGTTTAAAAATGAGCTGCAAAATTTTAACACAATTGATTCCATCTTCTCCCATTGTCATAGTAGAATTTTTCCAATTCAGAAATCTGGTTGCAACCCCATACCGAACTCATGCTCCTTCGCTGCAAAAATTTGTTAGCTATAGCTAGATTGGATTTTTAGCAGCTAATCTAACTGCTGTAGGGGTTTGCAAAGTGGGGACAGAGCTGTGCTATTGGATTTGTCCAATTCATTTGACTCCAGGACTATAATTGCACTTATGTCTTACAAGGCTTTTATAGCCTAAGGCTGGCCAGCAGCAGAAAAACAAATTGGCAGTGATACAGTAAGAGTGAAAGGGAATGAAAGGCACACATTATCAGTCTCCAGGCAGCGCTGTTCTGGCAGGAAGTTTCTTGGTTAATTTACAAATAAAACTTAGATTTTAGGATGGCCACGCTGTCAGACAAACAATGGGGATGTCAGGCCTGACTGTTACTTAGTAAAAGTAGCAGCCATGCTTACCCAAAAGCAGGAATTCTTCAATCAAACAGACGACTCCTTTCTGGAGCCAGCTGGCTATGTAATGCAATTAGTAGGAAAAGGAGGTCAGACTATTAGGTGTGTACCATGACCAGTGTCAGCAGTGGCGTGTTGCCTGGCAGGCAGCATGCAGAATAGCTAAAGCAGAGTGCCTTTAGAACTATTTACTCAAGTGAATGAGTAGATGTGGCGCACGACCAGTTTCAGAACATGGAATTGTTTTTGTAAAGCTTGAGAAATGAGCATTTGTTCTACAACTGACAACTAAGTTCTGAAGCACAGATTGCAGTTGAGGAAATGCTGTGAACACATGCTTAGTGATGTCAAAATTCAAATCGGAATGTCCGTGTTGACTTATGTTACACGGGTATTCACAGTTCAGTCTAAAGGAGACATTAAAAAACCATTGCATGAGAAGAAACATGTGGTTCAAAAAGTGTATGTGTCTTATTTATGTTATTAAAGTCCTATGTGTATCAACTATAGATTAATGCAAATCTGTGAAGGCTCCCTCAGACTTTGGAGGGGACATTACAAACAATTTCAGAGGCACCCCTTCCTGAATATTTTTGCAGGTCCAGTTCTGATTTTGTTCAGGGCTAAACATAAAAGGACAGGCCAGCTATTTGGTCATATATTATTTTCTGGTTGTCTTGGGTTTTGGTTTTTTTTGGTTTTTTTCATGTTGTATGTATTGAAGGTGGAAGGACACACCACTTTTCAGCCTGGACTGATCTTATGCTTCTTTACTTGGGAGTATAGCCATAACTACTCATTTTGTTGCTTATTTGGTGCTCAAAGGCTTCAGAGATATTGCACACAAATCTAAAATCTTACTTGTTTTTTGAATCATTGAAGTAAAACACCTGAGGTTGGTGTGTTATAGTACTTTATTTACTGGAATCCAAGATGAACTGGAATTTAAGATGACTTCCCCAATAATTAGATTCTATACATAGAAAATTTATGAATTTGTTATAATTTTCCATGTATTAGACTCTAATTATCAGAGGGTCATTTTAAATTCATTCTCCTTGTCCTCCCACTACCGGGGGCAGGACAAGAAGTGGCAGGGGAGCCAGTGGCAATGGGGGGGCAGGTGGTGGGGAAGTCAGGTGTCCCCTTACCACCTGCCCACCCCCACAACACTTGCCCCTGCTGGTGTCACCAGTCCCTGGTGTCTGCTCCCCTCTCCACATGCCCCTTCCTCAGCATCTCCTGTGTTTACTACTGCTTACCCTCCATTGCAGCTTCAAACCAGCTCCAGCCTAGAACAATGGAGCCCATGGTAGTTCTGGCTCCTGCCTAACCATGCAACAGTGGTAGCAGTTCCAGCCCAGAAACTAGGTCAGAGCAGGGACCAGAGTTGCTATTACTGCCATTGCTGTTGCATAGCCAGGCAGGGGCCAGAGCTACCATGTGCTCTCTGTGCCCTGGGCTGGAGTTGCCAATGAGGGTGAGTGACTGTGGGGATGGGAGGCTGTGGGGAGGCGGGAGAACAGCAGCTGCGGCTCCAACTCTGACCCCAAGTCTGGGTCAGGGCCAGAACCAAAGCTGCAACAGTCGCCAGTCCCCCCAAACTGTGTACTTAAATCCAAGATGAGAGGCTTTTTCCCCCATATTGAATGGGGGGCAGCCTTGTCTTGGATTCAGGTAAATACAGTAATTGATATGATGATTTTTTAGCAAAGTTCTAAAATCAGTCTTTTAAAAAACAATTTTATTTGATCATTCCAGTGTTAGAGAGAGATCATTGGCATTTTATGAATTCAGCAATTATAGGTGTTTGAGCTAAAAATGGTATGATAAGTGGTATTTCATGCTATAGAAACAGAGATTACCCAAATGTATATTTCTGGTATAGCCTGTTCATTTTTTTTTTTTTTTTTTTAGATCCTGTAAGAAAAGCAGCATTTAACTTTGTCAGCAACTTAGAAACATGATGTTCAAGGAAACTTTAGCTGCCACAAGAAATGAGTAGATGCAGTAGATTTCACTCTTTTCTCTAAGACAGGAGTGTCAAACTCATCTGGGCCAAGGCAGGATGAGGTTCTCTGGGCCAGTCTGTGGCAAGACCCTCTGTGTAGCTCCCACAGCACTGGGTCCAGCATGTACCAGCCCTGGGGTTCACTGTACACACAGCATGCGGGGCCGGCATGGGGCATGTGCTGCCTGTGGCACATGGGCTAGACCCAGTCATTCTGGAATGCCATACTCATCCCATGCCTCAGATTCTTTGCCACATGCAGCACCAAGTCCAACTCGCACAACACCTTGTGTCAGCCCTGCATACCACTTACACAGTTAGGCCTGGGGCTGGCGTTTGCTGTACATGGTGCATGGACATGCTGTAGTGGTCACATGTCCTACATGCAGCACAGGGAGCTGGCACAGAGCACAGGCTTCATGGCTGCCTGGCTGCAGTGTTGCAGGCAAAGCTCCCAACTGAATATTGCCAAAGCCTTCCACAGTAGAACACTACTGAAAACCCCCTGGGTCTGAGGGCTAGATTCAGTCTGAACAATAGGCTGCAAACCCCTGAACTAGTCCTGCCTAGTGCAGGGGGACTGGACCCAATGATCTACAAGATCCCTTCCTGCCCCTAACTATTTTTGAACCTATGACCTATTCCACTGTGGTGTTTGCTAGAAGATAGGATGCTGGTCCTTCTTTCCTGGCTGACAACTAGCATGATTCCTTGTGTTTGACCTGTCTTCTCCCTGTAGTTTTGAACATTTTTCCCTTGTGCTGAAATTCTGCTACAAAATGTAGTGTTACCAGTGCTGGATGGCTGCCATGATAATAGTGGTCTGGAGAGATGGTTATATGAAGAATTTGGTATGAATAAGAAGCACTATTCTTTTTAAAGGATTTGGTCCTTTCTTTTGATCAGTTTTCTATATGTATGCACTATCCATTTTTCCAAAGGTATATGAGGCAGATTGGTACTGGACACATTTCTTCACAGCTTTTTTGTATCGTAAATTACATCAGTGTGCTGTGTGCTCCTGTGCATTTTCCTATGTGGCTAGATAACAGAGAGAGAAGGCATTCTGCAAAATAATGCATGCTGTATGCTGAAATTTGCTAAATTAATGAAGTCATTACAGTTCAGTGAGGTAGTGTTGGAAGTCTGTCGTAACATTAGGGTTCTGCGAGTTGGGATATACATGCTGTCTTTTGCACTGAGTAGCAGTGACAAAAATAGTCCCATTGAACCCATATCATAAACCACTGTCGCTGCTACTCACTGTGTGTACAAGTGGCATAATTGAGCCTTCACTGTTACTCACTTTGTATACTATACATTAATGCATCAGTTTGGGTGTTCTGTTAATTGTCTTACCAACTATGTTCCTTTTAGATGCCTCATAGATTATTAGAGACTATTTCTAATATGTATAACATATTGTATATAGTATTGTGGCCAGGCAGGATAGGTTATTTTTTAAAAATTGCTTTACAACTTGTCTGTAAACACTTTTGTGATTTTATAGTCAAATCTGTTTACTCTCTTGCAATGAACAGCTATCCCTGTTAAACTCAGTGTGAGTTTTGCTGTTGACTGCAGTGGAACCAGTATTTTATCTTCTTTTTTTCTGAAGTTCACCCTCATAACATTGCTAAATAGTTCTCACAGTGTTCACACAATTATTTTTATCTACATTTTTTTTAAGATCATTATAAAGTGTCAGAGGATAGTGAGAAATTTAACATGCTGAGCTGGGAAAACCCAAAATAACTATTTATAGTGTTTACAGTTTCATATCGAAAAATCAGAGTCTGTTGATAATTGGTATCATAAATAGGGTTGAAATACATTCTTTACTTGTATGTATAAATTAGATAAATAAATTCAGTAACCCTTCTCTGTTTCCTTTTTATTCAAATAAAATCAAATTAGCTGTGAATTTGATTTACCTTGTGAATAGGTTTCATTTTACTTTGCACAAGTATAAACCTTCAGTGAAGATGCAGTTTTTAGCCTTCTTGTCTTCAGAAATATGGCAAGACATGGCAATATTTTTTTAAATTGTTGTAGGAATCCTTTCCTGATTCAAAGCATTTTCTGGTCTGTCAGGGTGAAATTCATTTCTCCACAGAAGACCAGCACATACGCTTATGTATCACATTAATTACTTGTTTTACCTTTTTTTAGGGTTTAAGTGGGACTAAAGTATTGCATAAACCTTGTGCTGTCTCCCCACCATAGAGGGTAAATGTTGCCTGTAAAATAGAAGTCTATTTAAAACGTTAAAGACATACAGTCTGTTGTGCATTTCAGTACATCATTTTCAAATATGTTTGCCTTTCTTCAGTCACAGACTTATTTTTCCAAACAAAACAAAATCATCTGTACTTAATAAGGACTATTTCTGTACTAAGTTTCAACATATAACTTCAGCTTTACTTTATGTAACCCTGTTCAAAAAAAGGTCTTTACAGTTTTTCCCACTTTGTCCTAACTCAGCCACTGTTCAAACACATTACACACACACTTTCAAAACAGAATTTACCTTCATGCAGAGATATGGCATGAAGTACTTCAGCTGTATAGCAAAATAAGGAACAGAGGACTGTAATGGAAAGTGTGTGCAACCTGAATGGTAGTAATAGCTACTGCTGTGACAGCTATAATATTTTAAATGAAATACAATGCCCTGCTAGTTAACATTTTGCTCATGTCATTCAGTTCAGCATTTAAAACTACTGTATATAATGTGCATCCATGTGTCATGTAAGTTGATAATTTGATAATTATGTAATTAAACCATCAAATTTTTTTTTTGAACGAGGCAAGTTTTGTGGCTGCTTTTATTAACAGCAGGTAGAGAAAAAGCAATATTTTAACCTTTTCTATAATGAAATATTTCTACTGTTGAGCATTGTAATTCAATTTGTAAGCCATGACCCCTCATAAACTGTTGTTATCACTCTGATTAATAAAGAGCCAATTTGCCGTTGCAGCTTCGTCACTTGGGAAATGATGAGGTTCACATCGTCTGGTCTGAACACACCAGGAACTACCGCAGGGGTATTATACCAACAGATTTTGGAGATGTTTTAATTATTATTTATCCAATGAAGAACCACATGTTTTTCATAGAGATAATGAAGAAACCAGAGGTAGGTTTTGACTACTTCAGGTAGTCCATCATGCACATTGCTTAAATGGCAAATAATTCTTGTATAACATTGAGAAAAGTCAACATTATCAAATATTTTTGTCAGAACATATTACATTTTTCTCCCCATGTGAGCTTAAAAGGTGCGCTGAACTCTCAGGGAGGGTTGTTTTACAGGGGTTTTGTTTGTTTTTTGTTTTTGTTTTCTTTTAACAATTGAACATTAGTAAAAAACTAAGTGAGTAGATCTGAAATGAAAAGCATATTCATGTTTAGCATTTTGGGTGGCGTGCCCGAATTTTAAACCCATTGGAGATGGCTTATACAGAATGATGCTTAAAATGATGGACGGGATCCAATTTAAGCCAATGAAAGAAAGAGAATACAGAATTAAGGCTTTCCTTGGTATTAATTCACACATAATAGTTAGCTAATAGTTAAATCTCTGATGGTACTATGGATACACATGGTGCTATATATGTAACCTCACACAGGTTTTTGAGACCCTGGCAATAATCTAACTCAGTATAATTTAGGGATTGCATGGCAGTCTTAACATTCATCCTTGCCTTTATGTCATTATATCAAATCCTTTTTTTTAGTGTTAGTATGTATTTATACTTATTTATTTTCTTGTCAACTTTTTCTCAGATTTCTAGGAGAATGCAAAAGCAATCGTTGTCTAATTGTTGTATACAAAAAGAAGGATCTTATTTTAAATGCAGAGATAAATGTATGTAAATGTGTAGTTCAATACACAAGTGCATTCAGCATGTTAACTTCTAAAGATAGAATATATTTTATTGAAATAACCATAGTCCTCACTACTATTGATATTATCTATTTACATAAAAAATAACAATGTGTCTTAGTGTGTAGACAACAGCAAAAAGGATGCATAAATCACAGGACATATGTACTAATTGTTTAAGATGCATCTTTCAGAAGTTTAAGAATGGCAACAGCTGTACATTTTAAGAACTAGAAATTTGTCATCCTACATTTAAAAATAAATCTTGAAAATTTGCCACCTATTTTTCATATGTGAAAACCTTTTATTGCTATATACACTTAATTTAAATATATAAAGAGTCTTATAATTCACTTCTCTGGAACTTAAAAGTAGAGAAAATAACATCCTAAAATGCTGACTTAATACACAAATAAATAGCTGTTAATGTATCTTAACCTGAAAAAGCTGAATAAAAAATTTAGAATTTAGCATTATGAAATTATGTGAATCAATCCCAGAAAAGCTATGTCTTTTTATATATTAGTCAAAAAACACCCAAAGGGCAGAAGGAATAATAGACAACTGGAAATTTAGTGTTATCCCTACATTTAAAGTACAAACCATTACAATGTAATAAAATTAATCCAGACATTTCCAGGGCAAGTGTGGCTGACCTTTTGTTCACCAGCTACTGACCCGAGGGTGAATGAAAGAGGCTTGCAGAGAGAAATGTCTGTTGTTTGGCTTCAGTCCCTGGTATTTAAATTGCATTCCCTAATCAAATGAAAAGGCTGTCCTCTCTATCAGGTTACCGAATCCATGGCAACATTTGGCCTTTTATATACATAATGTTAGCCTTTTTGTTTGCATCTAAGTAGAGACACCTGGAGCAATGTTAACATTAACCGATTTAGCATTAATAGCTTCATTATATAAGAATTTCTGATCAGATAGCTGTTACTTTTGTTATATTGCTTCAGCTTGTATTGTTTTCATTTTTTTATCTTCCTGCTTGGCAACCAGGCAATGATTTGCAAATTTTTTTTGTCTTGATTAATTAAGCAATATAATTATCAGGAACCGTGATGCAGTCTTTGCTCAACAAAGCTTCTGAGAGAAAACAATAGTAAGTCTGTTAGTATGAATGCATTCCACGCGTCACAGATGCATGAGGATATTCTAAACAATGAGACGAAAAGCTGCCTGCAAAAGAGGACAAAGAATGCCATGCAGACTCTACACACTACACATACCGCCAGGGACATACTGTGGGTTCCCTGGGACACAGATGCCTCGTTAGATTGCAGCTAGTCATCAGAGATTAATTCTCAGCCATTTGGTACAATAATTTACCCATTCCCCAGTCTTTTAACTAGTGCTGCTTACTATAGAAGTGAAGTCTTTGTACTCAAAAGGTTTATGTAACCTTGCCTACTTTTAGTGTTTACAACAAAAATAATTATTTTTTCTTAGTAATTGTACTGAAGGAAGCATTTGCAACATGTTGAATATTTTTTTTTCACAGCCCGTTAACTTCATAATTTGTATTGGTCATAAAATGGTGTACATTTCTGTCCACATCTGAATGTGTTTTATTTTCCTACAGTTCATTTAAGCTTAGCACATTTATTTTGCATCCCTGTGAAATCAAGTACTCTCTGAAAGGCAACTAAAATATCAACTTTAAAAGTACCAAAGATAGAATATGCATTCAACCTCATTAGGTCAAAAAGACTTTATGGTGTTGTATCCCCTTGAGTTTAATGGCCCACAGCAAGATTGTTGAAATGGAAATTAATCATTCTAAGCTTTTTTTTTTACCTATGAATTTTATGGTCTATTCACATATTCCTTCCCAGCCAACACTCCCATTGAATCAGCTGAAAGTTTGGGGTATGTAATCAGTCTCTGATTGGATCTTCAGATTCTGATTCTGAAAGGGTACTGGAAGCCCTCAACACCTGCTAAATTCAGCTTGAATTAAGCAGTCTCAGCATTTGAGAGGGCTGAACCTTTAAAAATGAGAGCTTCTTGAAGTATTGATTTACATTTTGGGAAATGCCAGGTATACATTTAATAATCTGTAAACAACTTTGTTTACATATACATTGTGGTAATTTTTTTGTTAATTGAACATTTGCTTCTGTATGTGGAAATATCTCTGAGAGCTTGAAAACATTTCTGATAAATTTTTCAAAATTTATCAAATTTAAAATTTGTTTTAACATTAATTCACAACATGTTTTACAAAAAAAGGTCTTACAGCACATTTCCAAGAGTCTGATAATTTTCTTGAATGTGATCAACCTTTTAAGTAAAGGTTGATCAAAAGAATATTTGAAAATTATTTTTACTAATAGAAATACTAAAGAGAGATTTATATTATCATAATTTTGGATTTATATGTGAATGTTAAAATTTTAAACTTCTAACACACACAATCTATTGCATAATGCCACATCACCTTTTCTCCATTTATTCTGTATATAACTCACCAGATACCAAAGTGAAAATGTGTGTCAAGGGTGGTGTTAGTGAATACCATCCTCAGTCATACCTGGCAGACAAAGTTGTTTTGGATGTTTGCATTCTCTTTCACTATTTTAAATATATATTCTTCTTTTCATAGAATTTTAACTTTCTTATAAATGCTTATGTAATTCTTAATTGAAAAATGAACCCACAAAACTTGATGATCCAGGACTTCCATGGCACAGATAAATTCCCAGGAGGGAAAAATTAATGACTTTTGCATAAAAAAACAGACCAAAGCTTTAAATGTTGTGTTGAATGCATTGAAAAGAATCCAGGATTAGTCAAATAAATTATGGAAATGTTTTACACTAATCTATTATTTTTCTTTCTTTTTTTTTTTGATAATTATTTTGAGTAAAGGAATGACATAAGTATTCTGTGAAAAGACAGCTGTCATTTGCAGATGTTATATTAAAACCAAATTTCTTCTGTAATTCATTGCCACTTCTAATTAGAGGAATTCCCTGGATACAGGGGATTTATATTATTCCTTTTGTCCATTTATTGAATGACTGTCACAGTCACCCACAAGCGGTTGCAGAAGAATAATAGAGGGTATTTATTTATGCAGTAAGTCTCAGTACAGATGGAAAAAATCCATAGCTTAAATATTGATAATAGTTACTAGCTCCTTCTTAGGTTTTTCTGTTTTGATTTTTGTGATGAAGAAATGAGCTCCCAATTGACTCATTCTTAAAATTAGAATCTGTAATGATTTCTAATAAGGTACTATTAAGATTTTCACTTTTTCCTTTTCATCATTGATAATCTGTGTGTGTGTGTGTGATTTCACACTGTTTCCCATTTTATAAATGATATGGACTTCTTTGTATTTTGTGCCACTAATAGCACTGACTTTTCAAGTTTCTGGTAGAGAGAACACTACAATTCATCAAAGCAGGGTATAAGATGCATTTGCTTGATAGGAATTCTAAATCAATAAAAGGTTTGGAATTTTGGGGTGATCTTATTAGCATTTGGCTTTCCTCTATGTGTGAGGTACTGTTTTTAAGGTCTTGGCAGGTTTTTTACTATCATTGCCAGTTCACCAGGAGTGAAATACCATGGGTCAGATCACTCTTCTCTATAGCCCAGCCCATGGCAAAGGCTCTACAGCAGGCCTGGGCCAAATATGGCCTGTGGGCCAAATCCAGCCTGCCAGGCCTTTCTATCCAGCCCTCAGCGCCCCTCTAAAAAACAATTATTACTCATCCGTTGCTGCCCCTCTGAAGTCCAGTGGAAGGCAGGGTTTCAGACGTGGCACACCATCAGACCAGGCGGGCTTTGTATGTCTACCTCCATGGGGCTTCCGATACTCCAGCTGGGAGCCCCATGTGGATGCACAAAGTGTGATGGCGCATGGTTGGCCAAGTGGTGAGGGTAGGGGAGCTTCTGTCTGCAGGAGGCGGGTAGGTGTGAGGTTTGTGGGGAGCTGTGGGGGTGTGGGACCTCCCTGCCACACACCTCATGGCTTACAGCCTCTGCCACAAACAACAGCAGGTGGCAGGCCCTCAGGATACTCCTGACCCACAGCAAGACATAGTCCCCCAGCAGTGCATGGCTCCAGCTGAATCCAAGGAGCGCCATAGAGTCCGGCCAGCCCAGCCTGCTGGTGCATACCTTCAAACCAAACTGGGCTGACTACCTGCCAGCACATGAGGCTCCTGGCACTGCAGGTAGGAGCCGCGCATCATGGGGCCAGACCAGGCAGTCTCCATGCTTCCACATGGGGC